GAGAGAGAGAGAGAGAGAGAGAGAGAGAGAGAGAGAGAGAGAGAGAGAGAGAGAGAAAAAAAACCCAGGTCACAACACTTTGCTAAGGCACCAAAGTATCCAGGCCTGACCCTCACATCAGCACTATGTTTTGCAATCAGGACCTAACATAAGCTACAGCTTATATAATCAAACTGATGTGAGAATTATAGAGTAAAACTTTTGGAGTGTAATTGTCTTCTATCATTAGCAGTCATTTTATGCAAAATGTACACATAGTTTTCAATATTTTGAGGCATTTTAGGCTTGCTTTATAAAATTGCCCTGCAAGTACCAACAAATGTTTGCAGTGTCCAAGAGGCTGGCTGTGAAAGACAAGAGATGGAGAAAGACAAGAGATGGAGTTGCCTTTCACTGACGTTATAGTGAAGTAACAAAGTCTCTTTAAGATTCATCTCTGCTCACCTGTTGATATTGGGTGCCAGGTGAATGGGGGTACAATGGAGCATCTTCTGGTGGAGAAGATTCATGCTCATCAGGAGCATCTGGATCATCTGGCTCCTAGAAATTAAAAAATTGGCAAAGTATTTTATCTGTTTCTTTTTTTATTTAAAAATGATTATTTTCCTATACATTTGTTAAGTTTACACAGTACAGACATTTAACTCATAGATCTAATAATTTTTAAATTACCAAATATAGAACAAAGTCATTCCATTTTTGTGTATGCATCACTCTCAAAGGGAATTTTATATGTACAGTATATCACAGAAGTGAGTACACCCCCTCACATTTTGTAAATATTCAAGTGTATCTTTTCATGTGACAACCCTGAAGAAATGACACTTGGCTACAATGTAAAATAGTGAGTATACAGCTTGTATAACAGTGTAAATGTGCTGTCCCCTCAAAATAGCGCAACGCACAGCCATTAATGTCTTAACTGCTGGCAACAAAAGTGAGTACATCCCTAAGTGATAATGTCCAAATGGGGCCGAAAATGTAAATATTTTGTGTGGCCACCATTATTTTCCGGCACTGCCTTAACCCTCTTGGGCATAGAGGTCATCAGAGCTTCACAGGTTTCCACTGGAGTCCTCTTCCACTCTTACATGATGTCACAGAGCTGGTGGATGTTAGAGATCTTGCGCACCTCCACCTTCCGTTTCAGGATGCCCCGTACATGCTCAATAGGGTTTAGGTCTGCAGATATGCTTGGCCAGTCCACCACCTTTACCCTCAGTTTCTTTAGCAAGGCAATGATCATTTTGGAGGTGTGTTTGGGTTCGTTATCCTGTTGGAATACTGCCTGTGGCTCAGTCTCTGAAGGGAGAGGATCATGCTCTGTTTCAGAATGTCACAGTACATGTTGGCATTCATGGTTCTCTCAATGAACTGTAGCTCCCCAGTGCCTGCAACTCTCATGTAGCCCCAGACCACGACATTCTCTCCACTATACCTGACTGTAGACAAGACACACTTCTCTTTGTACCTCTCACCTGGTTGCTGCCGCACACGCTTCACACCATCTGAATCAAATAAGTTTATCTTAGTCTCACTGGACCACAGGACGTGGTTCCAAAAATCTATGTCCTTAGTCTGCTTATTTGCAGCAAAATGTTTGCGGGCTTTCTTTAGAAGAGGCTTCCTTCTGGGATGGCAGCCCTGCAGACCAATTTGATGCAGTGTGCAGCATATGGTCTGGGCACTGACAGGCTGACCCCCCCCCCACTGCCCCCTTCAACCTCTGCAGCAATGCTGGCCACACTCATACATCTATTTCCCAAAGCCAACTCTAGATATGATGCTGAGCACGGGCACTCAACTTATTTGGTCAACCATGATGAGGCTTCTTCTGAGTGGAACCTGTCCTATTAAACCGCTGTATGGTCTTGGCCACTGTGTTGCAGCTCAGTTTCAGGGTCTTGGCAATCTTCTTATAGCCTATGCCAGGCATGTCCAAAGTCCAGCCCGGGGGCCAATTGTGGTCCGTTTTCAAATTTTGAGCAGCCTGCAGCCTCTTCTCCCCCCCCGGCTCAGCCTGTCACTCATCCCCGCCATCCGGCGTTTTTTCCTTCACCCCACATTAATGTTAATGGTTCAAAGAATATCAGGCTGAATGGTCGGACCCACACATTTTCACCACACTAAATCTGGCCCTCCTTGCAAAAAGTTAGGACATCCCTGGTCTAGGCCATGTTTATGTAGAGCAGCAATTCATTTTTTTCAGATCCTCAGAGAGTTCATTGCCATGAGGTGCCATGTTGAACTTCCAGTGACCAATATGAGAGGGTGATAACACCAAATTTAACACACCTGCTCCCCCTTCACACCTGAGACCTTGTAACACTAATGAGTCACATGACACCAGGGAGGGAAAATGGCTACTTGGGTACCATTTGAACATTATCGCTTAGGGGTGTACTCACTTTTGTTGCTGTGATATACTGTATGTACTTAACATCTTGGTATATTAATATCTGCAACCCACTTGCCACTAATCAATGACCCATAGAAACATCATTCTACTAGTGTTATGTGTTTGTCATCTACATTTTCTTCATTGTGAGGTGCTATGCTGTACAACAGAGTGCTCCTAATAAAGGAGAAAATAGAAAATACTGTATATGGCTCTGTTCCACTGGAATTACGCCTGTTTGACTATGCTGACTTTTGCCCTATTGTCTATTCTAGCAAGAATACACAATACTCAATTATTTTAGTGAGCTTCAAAAAACTAGATATAATTCAATATTTATTGATTACTAATAAGTCAAAAAAATGTTTGCTAAATGGATTATTCTCACATTGACTATGCATATGAGGCACTGGAATAACAAAGGGTCAGGTCAGAACTTTTAATAGTTGCTGAATTAGATTTTTTAGTCCAATGCACTGATTTTGGCTCTCAGTTTATGTTTTAAATAAGTTTGTAATACAGAACCACTCTATGGTTAATTGAGTTTTTATTATGAGAAGAAAATAATCATGAATATGAAAACTGGGCTTGATAATAACTGAAAATTACTGATTTACACAAATGTCACAAGCTCTCCCATATCTTTTCTTCTTCTATTGCATGCTCAACATGTTTGATATTATGATTTATAGAAGTTCAAAACTTTAAACTCTACTATGGCTTAATATGTAGTATGGAGAAATTTTGATAAAATCAAAGAAATAAAAAATCTGCAAATTTAGAGAACATTTAGTGAATCTCCTTTTTATGTAGGATTTTTTCCTCAATATGTTGTACCAAGGGAAAATAGCATCTTGGTATAATGTACTCTTTAATATTAATATTTTATATCCAATTTTAACATGAAAATCATCAGCTCTTTTTCAAGATTTAACCCAATTAAAATAACTTCATTACTGCATGAAGAAACTATAAATTTCTGGTTTTAAAAGCTCATATTAAAGTGTTATATCAAAATATCAATCCATATATCTATTATATAAGTTGTAATTCTCTTAAGAATTTTGTGATAGAGTATCTGTGTACCAATGAATTTCAAAATCACATTAGATTTCTCACCTCTTCGGGGCACAGTTCACAAGCCTTTGCAAGAGTCATTCTTGCACTGTGAGATCTTTCCAGAAAGTAACCATTTGATGTTTCATTACTCTGTACTGGTGGAGACCAGTTATTGTATGTATACTGTGGGTTGCCTGTGTAAGGCCTACGTTCTAGCTCATCTCCAAGCCACTCTACTGCCCAGGTCCACTTTCTCTTCAAATCTCCATTACTCTGTAGAGATAAAATGAAGTCATTCCATATTTGAAGAATTATTCCAATTCTTCCATTCTATTCAGCTTTTAATATAATGTATTGCTTCTTGCTCACGACTGAAAATTAAAGAAATACTAAAAAGGGTCTTTCTATAGAGGCAGGATTTCACTCAATATTAATTTGATTTACCTATCATATTTTTGGAGTATAAGAAGCACCTTTTTACCCCCCAAAAGAGGGTGAAAATCTGGGTGCATCTTATACTCCAAATGTAGCCCTGCCACCTGGTCCGCATGTTGGGTTTTCGGGTGGTTCCAGGCAGCGGGGATCCTCACTTCCACATAGAGTCTGATTCTCGAAGCAGCCCAGGGAATTGCATTGAAAGCCTTTTGAAGGCCCCCTCAGTATCTGCTAAGTGCTTGCCGCTCCTCTGACACCTGCTGAGCCTCCTCCCACCGCAGACGCACCTTCTCTTTTCCCCTGGCCAGATCTGTCACCTGAAACGTGAGGATCATGGATGAAAGAGCTTTCAGGTGGCAGCGCCTTCCGCACACACTGTTTTTGGAATCAGGGAGGGGATCCGCCGCCTGAAAATGCTTTCCTCCACGATCCTCAGCGGTGTCAGAAGGGTGGCAAGGGAGTTGAGCCTTCTCCACTCGCAACGTCATCGCCCTAAGGGCATTGCTGGCAGCCGCTTCTCGCAGCTCAGGAGGCTCAGCTCAGAAGTTCAAAGGAGGCTTTGAATCAAGCTTGATTGTACCCCATTCCATGTTTTTAACTTCCCGATCTAGTGTCCAGAGAAATCTAGCGTCTCCGAGGCATCTCTCATTTGCAGGAAGAGGAGGAGGGTGGCATGTACAAAAGTCTCTGAGTAACTGGAAAAGAAAACCGCACTTGGAACCTGCCGAAAACCGTCACCAGAAAAGCATGGCTTTTGTATTATGGTGCCCTCCTCCTGCAAATGAGAGGTGCCTCAGGGACGCTAGATTTCTCTGGATGCTAGATCAGGAAGTTAAAAACATGGAATGGGGTACAATCAAGCTTGATTCAAAGGCTTTGGCTTTGGAACGTTGCGCTGCCACCCAGAAATGCTTTTACAGTGATCTCTGCAGAGCCCACTTCACCTGCCCCTTCTCAGGCAGTTCCAGACAGCAGAGATTGCAGTCACAGCGTTTTGGGGTGGCAGCGAAGCGATCTCAGGAGCTCGACTGTATCTCATTCTAGGTTCTTAACTTCCCAATCTAGCGACCATAGAAAAGCCTTTGTGGAGAGGAGACTTCCTCTTCTCTTCCTCACCCCCACCTCCAATCTGCCTGGATCTGTCATACAGCAAAGAGATATGGTAGCTGGGAGCCTGGCACCTGCTTTTGCACTGAGACTAAGGAAGTGGGGTTGCGAAGAGGACTGTGAACAAACCAGGTTTTTCAAGGAGGCAGCCTTGCCAGATTGTATTCTTTGGGCTTCCCTTTTGCCTCTCAGGCACAACCACAAGAAGCCATTAATCCAAGTGGAAGGGATCCCCACCCCTCCTCGCCCAATTGGCCGTTCCCGGTCGATCGCAGCAGTGGCAGTTTGGCAGCCCCCACATGTCTTTCTCTCCTCACTGAAGAGAAGAAGCGAGCCGACTGCCGCTCCTTAGGCCAAGCAGTTCTGTGTGTGCTGGTCAGAGGAAAAAAATAAAGTTCAGAGAGATATGTTCAGTCCTCTCCTGCCGTGGGGAGGGGTAGAGAAAAGTGGATTTAAGATCGATAAAAGGCTTACACTTTAGGATGATCGACCCCCACACATCGCGTTTTTGCCCGCCCCAGCCCCCTGCAGAGTGCTCCAGGGGACTGGGGAGGGCAAAAAGTTGTTTTTTTGTTTTGTTTACCTCTTGGTGTGTCTTATACTCGAGTGTGTTTTATACTTCAAAAAATACAGTAGTTTATTCTGTTGAGAATTCAGTTGTGACCAAAAAAGGCTCCATCAATCCATGTTTTTTTCTTTCAATGAGCATCACACAAACAATATTGAAACAATTACCTGTAAAATTTGATACGCCACAGGACAGTTGCTGAAGAGAGCCACCATACATTTTATACACTGGTAAGCCCTTTTTTGATAATGGTTCTTGGATCGTTGAATGGTATCAAACAACCCATCACGATCATCTGGAATTCCTTTAAGTGCATTGTGAATCCTTAGGAAACCCAAACAAATCAAAAGATCAGAATGTCCCAAAGGCTAAGGTTATCTATATAACTGTTCCTGTTATAAAAAGGTAGTTTTATTACTTTTCAACTTGTCCTCTGGAATAGACCCAGTTATTTCACAATGAAAGAACTGATATTCAGCAAAGGCAAATTTATGCTAATTTCTAACATTTTTTTCATTACTAATCTGAGCTACAAAAGAAGGAAGGATTCATTAAAACCACCTTTCCTCACTTTTCTTGGATTTGTTTTAAAAAATAGCAAGCAGCTTTGTAATTTAACATAAATGAGTATCACTTTAATATTAGCAAAAACTTCTGTTATATAATAAATAAAAGGGAACACAGAATATCTTGGAAGATAATTGCAGAGGACCAACTTAAGAAGCAACAAAAATCATAATTCATGTACCTTTAATATCTGAAACTGTAACTAATATTGATAGAATATCCACTTATCTATATTCATTAAGACATCTAAATAGCAGAATATTAAATACCTATTATATAAATGCCATTGTGCTGAAACTATTAAAATGAGAAGATGGAGCAATATATCTTCTATCTATCTAGATTTAATATGTTAAAGAGTTGAGCTAATTCTATCCTACTACTTTTAACTACTCTTTTGTATATTCTTTATTACACTGTGTGCACAATTATTAGGCAAGTTAGTATTTGTGATCACAGGTGCATCAAACGTTTTGTTGCAAATAGTCAACAGGGTCACAAGAAACGTCTTGAGGAAAATAGACGCACATTAACTGTCAAAGATTGGAAAAGAATCAAATGTGAAGCTACCAGGAATCCATTATCCTCCAGTGCTGTCATATTCCAGAACTGCAACATACCTGGTGTGCCCAAAAGTACAAGGTGTTCAGTGCTCAGAGACATGGCCAAGCTAAGGAAGGCTGAAACCCAACCACCACTGAACAAGACACATAAGTTGAAATGGCAAGACTGGGCTACAAAATATCTGAAGACAAGATTTTTCAAAGGTTTTATGGATTGATAAGATGAGAGTGACTTGATGGACTAGAAGGATGGGCCCGTGGCTGGATCAGTAACAGGTCCAGAGCTCCACTTTGACTCAGGCGCTCGCAAGATGGATGTGGGGTACTGGTATGGACTTGCATTATTAATGATGAGCTAGTTGGACCTTTTCGAGTTGAAGATGAACTCAAAAACAACTCTCAAATCTACTGCCAGTTTTTAAAAGACACTTTCTTCAAGCAGTGGTACAGGAAAAAGTCTGCATCTTTCAAGACCACCATGTTTTTTATGCAGGACAATGCTCCATTGCATGCATCAAAGTACTCCACTGTGTGGCTAGCCAGTAAATGCCTTAAAGATGAAAGAATAATGACATGCCCCCCTTCCTCACCTGACCTAAACCCTATTGAGAACATGTGGGCCTTTCTTAAATGGGACATTTACGGTGAAGGAAAACATTACACCTTTCTGAACAGTGTCTGAGAGGCTGTGGTTACTGCTGCACAAAAAGTTGATCGTCAACAGATCAAGAAACTGACATACTCTGTGAATGGAAGGCTTATGACTGTTTTTGAAAAGAAGGGTGGCTATATTGATCACTGATTTTTGTTTGGAAATGTCAGAAATGTTTGTACATTTTGAGTTGTTTTTTTATTATTCTCACCTTAGATGCAAATAAACAAGTGAGATGGACAAATGTTCCTTTTCCATTTAGTTGCATAATAATTCTGCAGACTAATAGTTGTCCAATAATTGTCCACACAGTGTATATTAGCAATGCTATATTTTCAGTTTCACTTTGACATATCTTTAGTTACTATATTTTACCAATAAAATATTTAAATGTTAGGAAGAATAAAGAGATTTTGTCTTAGAAATATAATTATCCATTACATTCACCCCCAGTACAAATGCATACATAAATTTCAAATCTGTCATTCTGACTTTGAATAAATCCCATCCAATTATTAACTGATCCTTTTTCTGGGGCAATAGGGTACCCCTTGTCACCTGAATATCTCTTGCTCAAATAGATAATTTACATTGTTATAGAAATAGAATTTGCCTTTGTTAGGCAAGTTAATAATTCGTTTTAGGCTTCTAGTAGATTTTCAAACAGAAGAAAAGACCAAGAATCTCAAATGCTAACCTGTGAGTCTGCCAAGAATCCTCAATTAGTAAGATTTGGAGAAGTAGATCCAAATAAGGTCGAAGTTCATATGTGTAAGAATAAGCAACCTTGAAAGGAAAATATTTACATACAACTTCTGATAATTCAAACGTATTATCACAAATAATATGTATCATGAATTAGTATTATGAACTTTTTTAGGTCATAACAAACTATTGGAAAAATGTTTTAAATAAGATTTTATAATTGCATGATTAATTACTCTTCATGTACATATGCCTCTGAGTCTAGGTATGTATATGTCCATATGCAATTGTGTGTGTGTATGTGTAAAAATCATTGAATTCTAGGAACATTCTTTATTAAAATAAAAATATTAAAAATACACAAGTATTTTCCAATGTTTTATACTTCTCCACTAGATTAGTTCACGTTCAATTCACAAATCAATTATCCTAAATTTGGGGAAGTCTATTTTTCTTTCTCCTATTCATATTCTAGTTCTACTAATACATGACTATGGTTTCTGATTTTTGAAAGCATAAAATAAAATATAGATGAGTCAACTTGAGAATATACTGTACTACGATACCAAACCAAGAACTGCAGCAACATTGCAGCTAACTATGGTTTTTGTTTTTTGATGTGATGTGCCAGTGCCTAGAGGCTGTTAGGGTCTGGATGGGGGTTAACAAGCTTGTACTCAACCCGGATAAGACCGAGTGGCTGGTGTGTTTCCCTCCTACTAATTGGCCAAGTTTTCCATCTCTCAGGCTGGGGGGGTCAAACAGTACGCCCCTCAGACAGGGTCCGCAACTTGGGAGTCCTCCTGGACCCACAGCTGACTTTCGAACACCACTTGTCGGCTGTGACCAGGGGGGC